AAGAAAATCCACTCACCAGGCACACATGTGCAAGATCTGAGAGGCAGAGAAGGAGGTAATAGGATACAACAACCAGCCAATCATCAGAAAGGTACATCGCTTGCCGTGATTGGCTGGTTGTAATATACTGGGTACCACACACAGTACAGCACCAGTATCTTAATTTTTATTTGCTGTGCATTGGAAGAGGGGTAGTCTAATACGGCGAGTATATCCCAAACTCAAAATTTAAATGGAACAGTTGGGGGTCGTCTTATATGGCCAAATACAGTACATATTAAAATCTTGCTTTAATAAAAATGTCTTTGCCTCCTGGAAAGCAGGGAGGGGGCTAGCCTAGCCTCCCTTGAAAAAGAGTTCCAGAGGCTGGGAGCAGTCACCAAGAAGACTCTCTCTTGTGTCCTCACCAAGCGAGCCTGCAGTAGTGGCGAGACAGAGAGAAAGCCTTCCCCTGAAGATCTTAGGACACTGGCAGGTTCATATGGGGAGATACGGTCTTTCAGATAGTATGGACCTAAGCTGTGTGGGGCTTTATAGGTCATGACCAGCACTTTGAATTGTTCTTGTACTGCCTTGACTAACATCTGTGATGAAAAGCCATTGTCATCCCTTCTCCACAAAAGTGCCAATGCAGAGGCTCCATATCACCTTAGGCATGCTAAATTATTTCCTTCCAGTTTGTGCTTAGATGAAAACAAGTCATTCAAAACCTCTGAATTGACATTTTTACAGCCTCTATTTTTACTGCCAATGGTCCCACAATGGTGAAAAAAGTCGGCATACTGGTTGTGATTTCTGTATATTATCTTCCAAATAAGTAAGTGCCCACAAGTCAGTCAATACAAAAGGAAACTGACTACATCAAGGTAAACGACACCATATACAATGTTAGGGCTGGGAGCTGATTTACAGGCAGTTTCCAGCATCACAAATGTTTTGAGTTTTGAGTTGTGTTCATCCTGGGAGGTTGCTGAGAACAGGTCTACATGTACAGTGAAATCTGGAGCTTCCCAGATTTTCCAGATACACGGGGCTTATTTATACTATTAAAAATGACAGAGAGGCTATTAACAGCAAATTTGGATTAAGTGGCCACACATTCCCCCCCCCATCCAGACAGAGGCCATGTTGGTGTAAAATGGTGAGCTTCCCTGAATTCCTTCTGGTGACATGACATCCAATTTTTATTTTTATTTGTCAAGGATGCACACATGTGGAGGAGTGCAGGTACACTTATACAAAGACTTTTTTTTTTTTTTTACAAAAATTGTGATCACACTGCTTTAACCTCCTGCTCTTGAGAACTTGTCACTCCCTTTTCCTCCTGGACAAACTTATCATACATCTGGATTTTCCTGGAAAATCTGGAGAAAACTGTGAATCTCTTCTCTCCCCCCCCCCCAAAGTTATCTGAGGAATAAGCCCTTGGGTTCCTTGAATTGACAAGAACATTGTATGTCCTGATCACCACCAATGTGAGGAGTGATTTTTTAAATAGTATAGACACACATACTCTATATATAGAGAAAGGGAGTATAGACAGCTATAGTACACTCTCAGACATGGGAGTCCCACTACATTTGATAGTTCTGATGAGAGACTTGTACTCAGGACAAGAAGCAACTGTTAGAACAGAACATAGAGAAACAGGATAGTTCCCAATTGGCAAAGGAATCAAGCAAGGCTACATTTTATTACCCTGTTTGTTCAATTTGTGCACAGAAAACATCATATAAAGGTTTAGACTTAGAAGAAGGAGTGAAGATAGGAGGAAGGAGCATCAACAATCTCAGATATGGGGATGACATCATATTACTAGCAGAAAACATCATAACTTGGAACAATTACTGAGAAAGGTCAAGGAAGAAAGTGCAAAGGCAGGCTTACTGCTGAACATAAAGAAAACAAAAATAATGACAATAGAGGACCTACATTAATTCAACCTAGGCAATGAGGAAATCTCGTTTCTCATACCGAGGATCAAGCATTGATCACAATGGGAAAGAGATAAAAAGACTAGGAAGAGATAAAAAGACTAGGAATGGGAAGGGCAGCTATGAAAGAACTAGATAACATCCTAAAGAATAAAGATATACAACAGAGTACTATGTTAGAATTGTCCAACCCATAGGATTCTCCATCACCATGTACAGATGTGAGAGCTAGTCAGTGAAAAAAGTGGATATAAAGAAAATCAACTCATTTGAGATGTGGTGCTGGAGAAGAGTGGTGAGGATACTGTGGACAGCCAAAAAGACAAACAAATGGGTCTTTGAACAGATGAAGTTGGAAATACTCCTAGAAGTCAAGATGATCAAACAAAGGCTGTCATACTTTGGCCACATCACGAGAAAGAACAACTCATTAGAAAAAACAATAATGCTAGGGAAGGTTAGGGGTAGTAGAAAGAGAGGAAGACCACACACCAGATGGCTAGACTCAATTAGGGAGGTCATGGGCATGACTGTCCAGAAACTAAGCAGAGCAGTGGAGGATAGGAGGTCTTGGAAATGTCTCATCCACAGGGTTGCCATGAGTTGAGATTGATTTGAAGACAGTTAACAACAACAGATAACTCCTGAATCTACTTGTTCTACAGTCAAGTTGGAATGATTATAGGACAGTCTTAAGTTCTGTCTTTTAAAAAAATAAAGGAAAAGCAAATTGACCAAAAGCAGGGATATTCAAAGTTAGCTCTAGAAGAGCCTTCACAACCCGGTTGGTCATAGCAGAGCACAGAATAAAGGTGGTGTAGTCCAACATAACTAGAAGGCATCAAGGCTGGGACAGGCTGCTGTAGAAGGCCTCTGGTTCAAACTTCATTCACTTGTGGACCTAGGAAGCAGTCCTACCCCACATCAGACCATGTGTCTCATTCCCTATCTTCTACAAGCCAGCAGCTCTCCAGCCAGAGTGTCAGACAGGAGCATTTCTTAGCCCATGCTGGACAGGCTGGACCTGGGTCCCTTTTGTATGCTAAACATCTACTCTGTCTATGTGTGCGTGTGTGTTGTGTGCCTTCGAGTTATTTCTGACTTATGGCGACCCTACGGGGAACCGATGATCATAGGGTTTCCTTGGCAAGATTTGTTCAGAGAAAGTTTGCCATTGCCTTCCCTTGAGGCTAAGAGCATGTGACTTGCCCAAAATCACTCAGTGGGTTTCATGACTGAGCTGGGAATCAAAGACCATCCTCCAGAGCTGTCCTCCAACGCTCAAACCACTATGCCACCCTGGCTCTCAAACACCTACTACTACACAGCTACCACTTAGTAGTTGTGTGCATTCTCTCAACCTCCACTTCCATCCTCATCTGGGGCCATCATTGCAAGGTTGTTTTGAAGATGATCCTGCTGACTTTGTCAAGCTCCCACCTGACCCTATAAAATGGGGAGCATCCCTATTCAATAGGTAACCCCAACAATGAGCACACACACACACACATCCTACACACAAGGCCCCCCACAACACAACTTGGCCAACAAACACAGCCAGAGAAACCAATCCAGTGAAAGGATGGGCAGTCTCATCTGGAGGATGAGAAAGGGATCCAGAAAGAAAGAAAGAAAGA